TAAAAGATAGAAGATAACAATTAATGACAATTATGTTTAACGTAACGTTTTTGGATTCAAGGTCACTCCGCTCTGTCTCTAATAATAAATTTCCTAAAATTAAATATATATAAATTGAAGCATTAATCATGCTTATCTGATATTGATAAATTCACTAGATGATTCGACAATTTTCAATGTATGAATAAAAATATGAATTAATACAACATTTATTCTATATATTAAACAATATTCGTAAATTATAATAATATTTTTTCGAAATCTTATTTATCTGCAAAAATAATAAGTTGAAAATATATTAAATTTAGATCAAAATTATATCTTTTTAATTTAGAAAAAAAAACAAACATTGATAATTTAAAAAAGAAAATAATATATTATTAGTAATTGATAGGCGTGTTTTTTAATGTGAATGCACATTAAAAATAATATATTTCATTCCTATATAAACGTATAAAAAAAAGTTGATTGCGTTAAAAAAAAAAGAGATTAATTATAAATATCTAAGTAGTGACCTCTATCGTCAAATCGTATGTAATAGAATGAATTTAGTCAATTAACGACTGTTTTATCGACAGAGTAAATCCTGGGGCAATGACCTCCATGTTGAGAAGTGCTTGACCTATATATCACTAACGTATCTAGCATATGTATGTACACGTGTGTAATTCGTGTTCTATTATTTTTTTATCACAATCAATATAATTAACTATTTTATCTCATAATAATAATAATCTTTTTCTTAGAATTTTCAAATTTAAAATTAACAATAAATTATACGCATCACATTTTGTATAATAAAAAAGATTTCGATAAGCGTTTAATAAAATAGAAGAATGTGAAGGCCATTTCATACTTTCCTACTTATAAAATGTCATTCAACAATATTTCATTCGTTTTATATGATAATATAAATATGTACAGTGCTGAATATAATATTCGACAATTATCGATTAAAATTTAGTTAATTTTATTCTTGAATAAAAAATAAAATATTTATTCACGGTCATTGCCAAAATAATTGTTTTAAATAGCTAATGAATAATAAACATTATAATTTATGTCAATAGTATATGATTGATTACATTGTTCATATATAAAAATTATAGATTATTATTGCTATTGAAAATACAGTTCGATTTAATTGCTATTTAATTATCTAAAACTTTCAATATATTATCATCCTATTTAATTTGAATTAGTAAATTATTATGAATATTAATTTCAATGTACTTCTAAATAATTTTATTTAATTTTATTTTCTATTTAAAGAAACAATTAAAGGTCGAACGAGGGCAATATCCTAAGAGTCAATGTCCTATTGATGACAACAGGGAACACACCCGATTCAGGTCGCAAACTATTCACTGTTTCGGAATAATAACATCAAAACTTTTCAATAATATAATATATAAATAATACAATAATTAATGATTTTATTCTTAAATAATATTAAAAAATGATATGAGAATAATATAATAATGTTTTTAAGGGTATGTTTGTGAATTGCGTACCTGCCACCTCGAGGGCACTTCTAATTATTTGTCTCGTGTGACGATAATCCAATACCAAAGAATCCGATTCAGCCACAAGGGGCTGTTATTTTCGTCACAAAACACTACACATTTTATCACAAAACATTACACACTTTCACTATAATGTTGTCTTTTTTATTTGATCAAGTAATAATCAAAAACAAATGTAGTTTATACAAATTCACCTTCGTACTCGGCGCAATGCCGCCATATTTCCTGTTGTTTCGACTATCCGATTCTATAATCCCATTAACTATAAAATAACATAAGAGAGGCATACTTAAAACATATTTTAAAACTAATTCTATTTGATAATATTTTATATCATATTAGCAATATAATTTACAAATTCTAATTTAACATAAGTTTTTAATTAATTTTATCTTTTAAATATATTTGAAGCTGTTATTTAATCATCAAAAAAAAAAATTTGAATAATTTCTATGACATTATAATATCTTATCTTTGACTGAAATTTTATTTTATGATCAATCATTTTATTAGTCAATAACAGTTTGAAGCAGAAGTTTAATATCTTATAACTGATAACGATAATTATATAATCCATGAATTCTGGATTTAAATTTATATTAAGTAATAGTTCTATATGTTATAGATTTATGGTTGTCATAATCATACCTTATAGTTATATAAAGTTAATTATAATATTTCATTGTGTATCATTCTTTAATTCTTTAATTAGTATATGTAAATAATATTAAGAAATATTTAGAAAGAAAAATAAAATTGATACAACATTGATAAAATAAAAAAATGCTGTGTTGTATTAAAGAAAAAGTTTAATTATATTGAATCAAATCTTATTTTTAATTAAATAATAAAGATATAATGAAAACTTTTATTGATAATTTTGATGATTTTTAATTATTTTTATAATAATGTATAACTCTTTAATTTCACAATGGAAACTGAAGTTGTAAAAAGTTAGCATTTGAACTTTTATTAAATGTAACCGAATAGTGCATGATATATAAATAAACAAAAAATAAATCTATTTGAATCATAGATTTTAAAAGACAATTGTTTATCGTATTATGATGTTTATTTATCATATTATTAAACAAGAATCAAAAAATAAAAGTTTATTTTCTCTAATTATAATCATTAGAAAATTAATGAAAATTAAAAAAAAAAAAATTAATTTCTCATTATAAAAAATATATAAATTTTGATATTAATTTTGTAAGAAATAAGAAAATATAAATAATGCAAGTTTACGTAATTCTTAATAATCTCATTTTAGCTTTTTTTAATTAAATTATCATCATTGTAAAATATTTTTAATAAATATAAACTATTAATATAATATAATTAAATTTGCTTTATGATATTTTACATGATTTATAAATATATTATTTTTTATTCTATAAATAAAGTATACATTTTTTATATTGAAAATGAGAAAAATGTGTAAACATAAAAAAATCATAAATGAATTGAATAAAGTTGTATAAATATAGCATAGGATGTTCATTATGAACTTTTCATTCATTTATTATTTACACAATAATTTAAGAGATACATTATATCTTGTTTCAAATTTATTTTTTTATTATATCATTTCATGTAAAAATGTGTTTAACAATTATGTACAAAATAACTAAATTTGATTAGTACCTAATTTGTTTTATTTTTTTAATAATGATTATAAAAACTATTACATAAACAATCATTTTTTTCTTTTTCTCTCTTCATTACAATATAAAAAAATCAATATTAATCACATTGATATTACAAAATTGACAATAACAATTTTTAAATATTCAAAATTTCAATAATTCAACAATAGTTTATTCAGAAATTTCTTAACATATATATCATTAAAATCATCTTTGATTTTTAAAAAATTTATGAAATTTATAAATAGATTGAAACTGTAAAGAGAGAGGGAGAAAGAGAAAGAGATGATAAAATATAATTATTTAATTACACTCTCATTAACATCATTCATTAATTTTTAAAGTATACTGTAAACTATTAAGTGAAAATATTTAATATTAAATTTTATTTATAGGTACTTTTGTTAAAATAAATTTTTATAATACCAAAATGCAATTATACATTTTGATATTTACTAAAAATTTTTAACTATTTTTCATTAATTTTCTTAAAAGAAGAAATATTAGTGATTTTACGTGTAATAAATAATACATCATTACATATTTACTATTTCTCATCCTCTATCAGTAAGAACAATTTTTTACCATTATTATAAAGGCAACATTTTAAGGCCTCGAATTTTAAAATTCGAACGATATACAATTCATTTTAATTATTTTATTAATTCACTGCCTTTAATATTAAAAATATACCAAAAATTATTATTAGTATTAAATGTAACCGAAGTAATAATTTTGGCAGTGAAAATTTTTACTATATATTATCTATCATAATACAGTAAAATTTTAAGTTCACATGGACGGAAATTGCTTTCCTATAATATGGTACTTGTGTAAAGCTACGAAAATTGTTTATATAAATTTATAAATAATTAAGAATTTCAACAAAGTAATGTACAACTGCCTGGAACAATTAACATTAAATTTAATAACTATTTATATAATAGTTCAATGAGTTTGTTTCACTTCTAACAACTGGGGGTAATTTTCAACTATGTTTAATAAAATTCCATCAATGTATGCTCTTAATTGTGTATTGACTTCTTGTTGCTCCTTTAAAGCTTGTTTTATCTGTAATGATTTGAAATAATATGATAATCAATATAATTAAATTTGAATAATATAAAATATTAACATATTCGTATATTCGCGGAATATTTTTGAAATAGATAAATTCTTCAAAACGAACACAATTTTATCTTTGATACAACGTCAGTTTATTTTTTCTAATACAAATTTAAATTGTGATTTATAACTCAATAAATAAGTCTCGACGGATATTTTTATATATTATTTATTGTGTTTGTTTTGATCTCTAAATCTAAGTTGATTTGATATTCATGAATATATTAACGTATATTAATGCATAATTAAAATTTAACACATACTTCAGATATATTACAAGGTTCACCATTATCTCCAGAAAGTTGACTGTCTATCTGTAGTAAACATCGAAACAGTAAAAGAAAGAGAATGAAATAGACATATTCAGAATTATATTTTCTAAAAAAATAAGGATTATAATATACCTGATCTTGATTCATGCCAGCCAGTAATTCTACAGCAAGACTAGGTCCTTTTTCAACAGAATTATTACAAGGATTTAACATTAAAAGTTCACGGCCTGCCTGCAGAGCCGCTGCAGCTTGTAATTCATCTCGTGATTCTTCTAAACCTTAAAAAAAATATATTTTTTTTTATATAATAATATTATATAATCACAAATAAACTTTATTAATAATAACTTTATTAATTTAAAAGTATTTATAATTAAAAATATATATATATATACTTTTATTACAAGCTTGAAGTTGTGCTACTTGTTGTATTAATTCTTCTATTTTTTGTTGATCCTCAATTTTCATAGTCAGTTCTTCTTTAACAGCTTTAAGTTGATAATGAGCTTCGTTAGCTCGACTTATTGCTTGTCGTTCATTTTCACGAACGCTATCTATTTCTCTTCTAGCTTCTTCGAGATCGTTTTCTAATCGATTTTTCTCTATTTTAACTTTTTCGAGTTGCTCGCGTAACCTTGCTATTTCGTCTCTTAAACTAGTTTCTTCTAATTCTATTGCTTGCAATTTGATAGCATAATTTTCTAGTTGTAATTGACGTTCGCGTTCTAAACGACTTGCCCAATCTCTATGTCTTCGTTGTTCCGCCTAAAATATAATGTATCATATGTTTTATATGTCTTAATTTTACAAATAAAATTAACAATTATATTATAAAATAAAATAATAAGAAGAGAAAACTATTATTTACTACATTATCGATGAATGAAGAAAGAAATATAATACATAGTAACTACTTATTTAATAAAAATTACTTGAAGTCTTTCTTCGGCTCTAGTTTCAGCATCTTTGGCAGCTTCTTCTAACATTAATATTCTTGCCTGTAACGTAGCATTTTCTTGTTTTGCTCTAACATATCGTTCTTCTCCGACCGATTGAAAAGCATGCATTTGTTCTTGAATCATTTGAACCTGAAAAAATATATCGTATGTTAAAATTATATTATTCTATTTAATTGATATGTGTATTATATAATTATATGTTAGAGAAAAAATATATTATTTTTATAGATATATATTTTTAATAGATATAGAACAAAAATATAAAGAAGCTTGTATAAAGAAATTAATACGATAATTTTTCGTTTAAAAATTCGCGTTTGTGCAAGTTCATATTATAGACTTCATAAAATAATGATTCTCAAATAATCTCATATTTGTAATATGTAGTATGTATATATTTATAACATTATTTGATACTCATATATAATAAAATTATATAATTATTAATGAAATTATTAATCTTCACATGTAATTTCAAATAATGATTTATCTTTGTAGATTTATAATTAGCTTATATCATATGTTCAATAAATATTATTAGTTTCAATAGTAGAATTTCAAACATAAATGTATTTAATGTGAATTTATCCTGCAATGAAATTTATACAAAATATGACTAATATTATTTTTTAGATAATTTTTTACTTAATACTTTTAATAATAAATTATTATTTATATATTAATTATATATTGAATTATTATTTAATTATTTATATTAATAATAAATTATTTAAATATTATTAAAATAAAATTTATATAAAATTTAAACAAGAATTCAAATATCAATTTTAGAATATAAATTGTAACAAAATAAATATCATTTTCATATCTATATTTAATATGAAGTGTAAATAAAGATTATGTAATATATAAATTGAGTAATTGAAATTTAAATTTAATCAATTAAAATGGAGAGTTCAATGATAACAATAAAATATTTATGTTTTTTTTTTTTCTTATATTTGTCAATTGCTCATATTCATTGAACTAGAAAATAACAATTATTGATTTCATATCTTTTCAAATTAAAAATGATAATAGATATCACAGTTTATCATATTATATATAAAAGTTTGTATATTTTATTTTTTCTTTTTTTATTATTATTATTATTTTATAGTTATTTACTTTTCTGTTATCAAATAAGACAATATATCAATACTTAAAAGATTACAATAATCGTAACGTAGTAAGATAAATTTGTATAATTATTATAAATGCTTTAAACATTATCATTAATTTAATTGCAACGAAACATATTATGTTTGATTTATATTTAATCATATTTAATCATAAAGAAGAAATCTTATGATCTCGGTATATTGTCTTACTTGTTCAGTAAGCCGAGGACCACGACGACGAGGTAATCGACTACCGCGAGAGGACGGTTGTCCGACAAATTGAAATTGGCCTTCCCACAAATCATATTCGAGGCCGGCTCCAGGTCCAGGAGACGGCCCCTCCCCGGAAGTTATTCGATTATCATGATCGTAACGTTCGATCGCACCTGTGTCTGACTGATCATCGTAATTGTTCAAATCCATTCTAATTCGTGATGTCTCATGTCACGCCTGTGTCAGGTAGACTCGTCATCCTCTTTAACTAATCCGATATAAAAGATTATTCCGTTAGAACGACGTGCAAGCACGCCGGTTCTCTGTTCATTCTTCTTTAGAACAATACTATCGTCACTAACAACCTAACCTCAAAATTTCATGCGTTTACTATAAAATTGCGAATTTGAAGAATAAACGAGCGAATAATCTAATATGTACAGAGAGAAACACAACACTACGCGCACATCCGTTTCTTTGGGCGTACTTCGAATATAATCGTTCGTCTCAATCGCCCACTGTAAGCTGGGAGTAACCGAGAGGCTATTTGTGCACTCCATACTACGTATCGACTAACTCCACTGTATCGCATGTATCGTACATGATATGTTATATGTTTTGATCATTATTTCGTTTATTCTTATGCATATTTTAAAAATTATTAAAAATCAAATTAGTTTCCTCTTTTGTTCTCCTATTAATGAATTAGAGAATTTTTATTTTTTTATTATATATATTTATCATATATCTTTGAAAAAAAAATTTTTTTTACGAATTAATATATTTTATATATATATATATATTGTTATTAATCAATGTTTATATTTAAATTATAAATATTAAGATGATTTCTCCGATCAATAATGTATATTTATTTCATTATCAACTTATCCGTATAAAGTGATAATTTTGAAAGTACGCAAAGATACGCCCCTGATCATTTTACAATGCTTGGTTTATATAACTATCGATATATTTTACGTTTTAAAGTTAAAATTATCTAAAAAAACATTTGTATGCATAACTTTTATGAAAAAGTAAAAAAAAATCATTTATATGCATAAATATAACTAAGAATTAGCATTTTAAATGTGTAAAGATAAAAATAAAAATAATATGTCTTATTTATTATATATTATATATAATATATATATATATATATTATATATAATATTACTATTATTATATATGATTTAATTTACAAAATAATAATTTTTTTTAGAATTATATATAAGCTCGGTAAATCTAAGAAAGCTTTAAATAGGATTACATAAAATACCATGTAAAATATATGTGATGACTGACTTGAAATATTTTACATGATTCTTGAATTGGAATTCATTATTATTATTATTCAATTTAGAATTCATTATTATTATTAATTTTTTATAAAAAGTAAATCTCAAAATAATCAATTATAATGAGAAGAATGAAGAAATTAAAAAAAGGCCAACCTTTCCATTCAATAAATCCTTCAGAAAATTTAGAACATGTCATACTTTATCTATATATTATATTAACCACGCAGTTTTCACTCTAAACTTATTAATTTTTATGATTTTTTTGAATATTTGAATAATTTAGTTTGTTTATCAATCTATATTATGACTAATCAATTTTATCATCTTGCATTGCTGATCGTATTACGTTTTTGTATTACGTTTGCATTGCATTTGTTTATCCAATTATCCAAAAAATGGTATATACATATTTATTTATTAATATACATATTACTAAATTAATAAAAGAGTGTTTATAATATATTATTATTTATATTATGTTTCATAATTCTTATTTTATTAATTTGTATTTATTTATTTTATATGTTTTTAAAATTTTATATGTTTTAAATTAAAAATAAGTATTATGTAACAAAATACAATATTATGATACAATAATGAATGCAATAACATTGAATATGATTTATTCGCTTATAAAATAAAAATCGAAAAATTATCGATAATTTTATTACAATATATGTATATGTAATTTTTTATTTAAGATTCAAAGAAACGCAAATTATGATGCAAAATTATAGATGCAGATTTAAAAAGGCAAAATTAAAAATTCATTAAATTCATTCCATGATATTATTATAGAAATAAATAATTTATTTGTTGTAAAAATAAATAATTTATATATATTTATGTTATAAAAATATGCACATTAATAATAGAACATCTAAAATTATTTTTATATTAAATAAATATTATAATGATAATATAAGGAAAAATAATTAATTGAAATTCTCTTTTATTCAACAAATTTAAACAGAATTTCATCAGTATTTTGATTTTGATTTTGATTTTTCTATATATGATATTCATAATTCATCTTCATTAATAAGTATGATAATAAACCTGTAATAAATATATCAATGAACAATATGCAATTCGATAGATAGGTAGAACGTGGAATTGAATCTACCTTAAATAAAAAATTACGTCTTAATAAAATACGTTACCTTATTTTTTACGCAATTCATTCAATTTCACTCGTAATCGTGAAATTTTTTTTCAGAAATTATCATAATAATTAATTTCACGTCCATAAATTTATAATGCCGTGAATGAGTAAAAAGTGGAATATCAAGATCGAGTGTTTCGTAGTTTTCGTAGTTTTAAATTTTTATTATATTTTTATTAAAATTTATTAGTTATATATTATCCCATTATTTTTGTATTTTTCAATTTTAAGAAATTCAATTCTAAGAGGCAACTGATCGAGTAACTTCATTCATAAATGTATCATCTGTTTATTATTAATGCAGCATCATTAACTTTTTTTTTTTCTAATGAAAATTCTATGATATCTTCATTCTTACTTTCTTTCTCTTTGTAAATGGAATGCTTCTGATATTTATTCGATGTAGAAGTTGACAGGGATTCGTCACATCCTTCGCAAAAAACATCGTAATCTCTATTGAGTGCATCATTTATATCAGAATATAGAACAAATTCAGCGGGATAATTTTGTTTTGCATCTTTTCTTCTCTTCGCAGTCTACAGGTTCAGAAAGATCATCGTTTATAGCTGCCAAATAAAATCGGGAAATCGCTTTTTTAAAAGACCCTGTCCCCACGAATATAATCCTGAATATTCGAGGTTCTTTATTTATTATTAATTTTTTTTTTTAAATACCGTTTTTCAAATTACGTCTCTTTGAAATCAATTGAAAATTTAATTTTCACGTTCATTATTCATTTAAATCTCTCATTTAAATTTCATTATTATATGTTAATCATTATATTATCGACATTATAACTAACGACAGTTAATAGAAGAATATTAGAATGATCAGAGAAAAGATTCAAAATTTATAGAACATTTAACTTTATATTTAGAAATCTTGTGAAAGTAATAATAATAACTTTCAATTTCAATATCATAATTGAATGATATTGAAATCAATTTTCTATTTTTAAATTTATATTATTTTATTGCGCTGTCACTAACGCTGTTTTTTTTTTATTAATATATATATATAAGTGTATCTTCTTACTTCGTTAAATTCATTAAATTTTATATCTCTTTATTATAACGAACATGTTAAAAACAGTAATAGTTATCCACGATACCGGAACCATGATTCGCTCTAACAAATTTGAATCGCCGATTCAGATATTAATCGAAAGTGTTCAAAGAGTACTTTACACTTTAAAAATCTCCGATCACTTTTTTCAACATCGTCTACTTAATATACGTAGAAACGATTCATAATTAATCAATCTTTATACTTTCAAAACAATCGGTATATAGCGTAACGATAGTGGGGAAGACTAACAATAAATATAAAAGATAATTACGCTAGCAACCGGAAGCCAGATTTACCTGTGCTGGTTGCACTAAAGGGTGCAATCTGTCGCTTAATCTTCGCCGTGTATCGCGACACAGAGACCAATAGAAAACAATGCTAGCGATGCACAGTGACAAAAGAATTAGTAATACAATATTGAACCAAGAGAAACCTTTTGATTCTTGGGAGTGTATATCATTGTAATAATGCGGTGAATAAAATCCAGGATGATATGGATAATACGGATGAAAATGAGGATAGGGTGGTGGATAGTAAATGTAAGGTGGAGGAGGATGTGCTGGATGAGGTTGATGGAATCTGACGTCATCTGCGGAATTTTCGGAGGATCTTGATCGAGATGGTGATCCATAAACTGTATTAGTGGCACACATCTAAGATCTTGATGATTTATAAAGTTTCCTTTCCTTTATCAAACATTAAGTTTATACGTTTTCTGCAAATTCGGTGAAATTACAGATTTTACGCTCATATCGTACGAATCGTAAGAGCGATAATTTTGTTCACAATGATGATAAACGTGAGGTTAAACATCATTTTTTATAGATAAATTTTGACACGTTGAATATCAGAAATAAGAGTAATTTGCAAAAAAGTTATATATCGATAATGATTTTGATTGTGAGAAACTTCAAGTATTTGAAATGTAATAATATAAAATGATATATATATATATATATATATATCACACATATAATATCAACTAATAAATCGAATTTAAGTTAGATTAATAATTAATGACAATTGTACTTACTTTATGATTGAGATCAATGACATCATCCTCGAGAGAGACATCGCTGTACATATCGTCCGCGGGATCACAGTTGGAGCTTATACCAGAACTATTGAAGCTCCCACTTCGATAAAGTTGACTAAACAAAAATCACTGAATATTATAAAGTATTCTACACAAAAACAAATTTATAAAATATTGTTTTAAATAAGTATTATTCAAAATTATATATATAATATTTAAGATTAAAATTAAAAGTATCATATTGCTAAGTGAATTATATTTTCGAAATAGTATATATTTGGAAAAATGGAACGTTGTAACAGGATGAATATAGATAACGAGGTAAAATGTTCCATAAAATATATTTATGGAAGTATAAAAGGAAACGATATATGGAAGTGCGTATGCAGACAGTGCCCACGCTTTAGAAAGTCCATCGGTTTGCGTTTCGTGAAAGGATCGACTTGACAATTATTAGTTAAATAAGGATACCCTAAGGTTCTTCCTATGAAATGTAAATTCTTCGTTGCTGAATAACACGATCGCTATTGTTATCCCATGACGTCAACTCGCCGACTCCTCGGATGAAATAAAAATATCTCTTCCAACTTTCTACAGATACTTTTTCACGCTTATCAGGCTAGTGTACAGAATTTTTGAATTCGTAAATTCATTTTATGCGCATATTTTTATTATTAACAATTACAATGCTTTTCAAGACATTGAAAAAAAAAAAAAAAGAAAAAAAACAATTTACATTGTACATTAAGATAAATCGTAAAACCTAAATAATTAACGGTTCGTTCTTACCTTGCTAATGCATTGGAACTAAGTCTCTTCCTTCCGGAACTAAAAATAAAAAAAAAAAAAAAAAAAGAAAGAAAGAAAAAAAAATATGACTGTGAAAAATATTCTTACGTAATAGAATATAATTTTATATAATTTTTAAAATGCTATTAATAAATTTCAGCCTTGTATTATTTTTCCGTTTAATCATCACTGTATGTTCAATCCAACATTACGATTTATATTATTATAACATTTACTTTAATATCGAAAAATTAATGAAATAATTAATCTTAATAAAAATCTTTTCGAACAATCTAATATCCCATCTGTCAACCAAATAAATCGCAATTTCTATAAATGAATCAAATAATCGAAGAAAATAGACGAAGGCTAAAATTTATTATGAAATAGTAAATGAAGCCAAGAAAATACCGTATATATCTATTTAGCGATATGATCGTGAAAGAGAATCAACAATTTGATTCTATTCTAATGTCACTGGCAAGGATACAATGTTCAATTTCAAATATAGTCTTCCGTATAAATAGACAAGATACGTATATACTGTTGATCACACTAGATATTCGATGCATCTTATATTAAATTATACAATACAAATTATACAAGATAACATATAATAAAAAAATTATATCGGTACACAAGAAATACTTACTATTAAATATTTACTATTTTATTTTACAATCATATTTTAATGAAAGTATGAAAATAAAGTACAATAACGAACAATGTTGCAATTTTGAAAAATTGAAACGCAAAATAATCAAGCAATCGAAAACTTTTGTAATCAATTGTATATACTCATAGATATATTTCGATATTCAATAATAAATGTAAAAGTGAAAACGTTCAATTAACGAAACCGTTTTCTTCTTTTTGTTCCTTCGAATAATCAACAAATCGACATCATTCATTACAATGGGACGAATATTAACTTGTTATTATAATGGATCGATTGTCATGACTCGAAAATAATGAACAAATTGTGAATACTATATATAATTACAAATATAATTACAAATACATTGTTCAACTAATTGTTTTCGTGAAGTAAATATTATCTTGGAAAATTCTTGTGATGTAATCATGAATACTAAAATGGAAAAGCATTGTACGCGTTATCTATAATATTGTCTTCGCGCTATAACATTTTTATAATATATATATATATATATATATATAATTATTTATGTATTAATTATATATATTATATATAATATTATATATATTATAACTGGTAACAACTTCCTCCTTGTGTTATATAAATTGTTAGAAATATGTTAGTATGAAATTTAATAAAAACTCTTCACATCCTATCCTTAGATATTGAAGACAAGTTTTTTTTTTCAGTTTATTAACACGACTAGACGATCGTAATTTATCAATCGATTCCATAGAAATAATTTTTTTCATACGCCAATCTCGTTCCTGTATTTTTTTTTTTTTTTGAAAATCGAAAATTCTTCCGTAACGAATTTACACTTGATTATAATACTGATGCGTAAATTCCTTTTTATTCGCTAAATCACGTGCTATATTCGACCTAACTTTTCGGCTTAACAATCGGAATTAATAATGTTTTCTATCTTTTATAAATATTTGGTATTCTGTACTTTAAATATTAGAGGTTTAGATTCTAACATTCAAAATTCTGATAATCAGAATTCGAGTTCTTTTTTTAAAAAAATAACAAATTCGAAATTTGAATATTAAATACAGTTTTATTATTTTTAAAAATAATCTAGCGGTAAAAAAAAAAACATTATATAGAATAATTAAAACTAAATGCTAATTAAAATTAATTGAAAAAAAATTTAAATCATTGAATTGCATTGAAACATTAAAATTGTTTGAAATATATAATATAATATAAATAACTAAAAAAAAATAAAATTTAAATTATTATTAAACTTATTAAATTATTCTATTTATTATAGCAAAGTAAATTTTTTCAGTGAAATTAATAAATGAATAAAATAGATGAATATAATAGAATTAAATAAGAAAAATGGATATTAAAAAAAGAGACAAATTTAGGATTTTTTCGAAAAAGAAAATAAACAAAATCTTACCAAGGCGGTGTTCGCCTAAGTGATGTCCGTAGATAAGAATGTCTTCTTATAGTTGAATTGGGGCTTCTTGGGTTTCTAATTAAAATAAAACAAAGTTTACAATATAAACTATTTTACATTATTTATAAACTAATTAATTATATTACATTTTCACGACATGTAAATTTCAATCTTGATAATTAAGAATTATTCAAAAATATGTTCAAAAATTTTGCAAATTCAAAATAATGTACCAATTCTTATGTTGATGATTTCCTTTTTTCATATAGTTATTTGAAAGAAAACACACGAGACGGCAATTAATAATTCTGAAGAATATGAAATATAATAAGATATTCAATTTTATTTTCTCTTTTCACGTGAAAGTTTTTTCTACATATTAGCAAAGCATTAATTTGATCGTGGGAATAGATCTGTTTGAATGATATACATATAAAATGTGAGAAAGTCTGTATTAAATTTCGTGTCAACTACAATATACTTAGTGCAAATATGTTCATCATGAATATTTTGACAGAATGATTTTGAAACAACATAAAATAAATATTATACTATAAACGATTCGTATATGAATAATTTTATATCTATAAGTTATTTTAAACGAATATCAAAATATTATTCATTATATTTCAATAAAAACAATTACAAAATATTTTTAGTATTTTTAGTACAATTGTACTTCATTTTTGACCATAAATTTATTTTTATCCAAAATATGAACGTAATTTTTTAATAATTCTCATTTTATATGTATAACGCTCATGATACCCTCTACAGGCCATATCGAGAAACTAAAGTTTACCGAACTTAAAAATGTTCGCGCGCAAAATTACGACAATTTGTGTATTATCGATACTATTACATAAAGGACAATCAATGCATAAGTATATATAACATATATGTATATATAGAGAAAAAGAAAGAGAAAGAGAAAAGAATAAGAGAGAGAAAAGAGACAACGAACTTACTTGAAAGAACTAGTACTTGTGGGTGAAGGTGCAGAACTGCTACCACCCGGCGATTCCACCCCGTCATCAGCGTCACCTTCGACAGATCCAAATGCTTCGTAGCTTTCCTCTTCTTCGTGATTATTCGATTTATTAGATTTAATGTTACAAGATGATGCGATGGCATCAACGTGTTCGGGACTAGCGGAATAATGCCCAGAGTCTTGAAGATTCGGATTGACCAGATTATGCAAGTCTACCGACATAGAAAGCGGACCACTTTGGCTCCATTCGACAGCACCAGGAGCTCCGTTTACATGACCACCCTCGTTCTCCACACGATATGATTGGCGGGTGCTCGGTAAGATGGCGTCACCATCACGAGCTACGTCACTGTCAGACACGACGACACGTGATGTACCCACGCTATTAGTTGGTGAAACATTTACACCAGGCGAACGGGAGCTTACCATCCTTCGTTATCGGCCAGATTGGAGCCGAAGCTCGATGAATAACGAGAACTGAGAGATGTCCAAGGTCTTTCGATTATTGAATACTTCACTAGTAGAACCGATCGTTACTGAAAAACGTTCTAATAAGTCAGATATTCAAAAACATTAAGAGAATAAAAAAAATGAAATAGAATGTAACACGATTTTCGTTTTATTTCTATATTCTTTCTAATCGACAAAATAACAACAAACAATATCCCTAAGAGAGAAAAAGACAAAGATAGATTTTAATTATAAAAAAAATTATTACGGAACCATAAAAAAATTATTTTATGGAATAATAAGTTGATAATCTATATGTGAATGTTATTTAATGAATATGCAATAGTTTAGAATCTAAGAAAAGCGTGAGAACTTAGCGCACTAAGTCATGGTACACCGAGTCAGACCTCAACGATACGAGAAGTTATAATTAAATACTACAGTATACAGTATATTTGTATTATTCAATGTTAGAAGAACATTTTCTTTTTTTTTCCTATAGCATATAAAATATTATATATTTATTATATTAAATAGATTGAAAAAAATATCAATTATTCAAAATTGCACGTCAGATAAAAGAAAAAATTTTGACAAGTTATTCAAGCTATTCATGTTCATTTTATTGTCTTATAAAAAATATCAAATGTGATATGATAAACATTTATATATATATATATATATTTTATATTTATATTTATATAACATAAGAGAATATAATTGATTATAGACAAGAAAATAAAATAAGGAAAAAACATTTAATTATATATCTCACGATAATTTTAATTTTAATTTTTTGAAGAATTTTAAAATATCAGAAGATAAAAATAATCAATCATTAATTTTCTACTAAAAATTAAGGCTCATTTAAAATAAATATTTGATAAACATTTTATTATAAAACTAAAAATTTTATTGATATATTTAAAAAAAATATAGATGATATTTATATCGTTAATTCAAAAGAATAATAATATAATTGCAAAATTTTTCAGAAAATAAAGAAAATTATTTAATTTAGTTAATTTAATCATATTGAAAAGAATTATCGACACATTTTATTTATTATTTTAAATTCTATTAATCATAAAAAAAATGTTAAATTTTTTTAATGAATAAACATAAATTGTTATAATAGTATTATAAGTAAAATATTATTAAATTAGTAAAAAAATAAAAAAGTATAATTAATATAATTGTTATTAGAAAAATTAAATATATTTATAATTTGGATATATTCGAATTATCGAATTATTATTAATTATATTAAGTATTTAAAGTCATATTTTATTAAAAATTTACAATTTTACAATTTTATCACAATTCTTCTAACTGATAATTTATAATTTATTATGCAGCAGGAATTGAATAAAAAATATTAAACAAAATATGTAATCATGGATCATCTAATCCTGATTTATCTTATACTTGATTATTATCTTATATCTGATTTATCTTATATTAATGATATTATTAATTCAATTGATTTTCATATTCATATTGATGTTGAATATATTTCGTATAATATTATTTATATAATGAGTGAAATCATATTAAGATGTTCAAGATGATGATGAAAAGAAGCATTCATAAAAACTTTATATTTTAATAATCTATATATATTGAATTATAATTGAAAATCGCTATTTGAAAAGTAAAATCAAAAAAAATTTTATATGTATATACATATATATATACATACATATATATATAT